GCGTCGACATTCAATCGACAGATTCGGATTCGCATCAAAGTTTCTTCGACCTGCTTAAATTCGCGTCGAGATTCTGTCTATCGGCTCAAAATGATGTTGACATTTCGTCGACTAGATCAAAGATGCGTAAAAATTCCTCCGATAGCCTCGATTTAGGGTCAACATTTAATCAACCGATTCGGATTCGCATCGAAGTTCCTTTGACGTGATTAAATTCGCTTCGACGTTGTTTCGATCAGCTTAAAAGAATGTTGACATTACGTCGACTAGATCAAAGTTGCGTCGACATTACTCCGATAGTCTCGATTTAGCGTCGACATTCAATCTACAGATTTCGTTTCCGCCGACTGAATTAAAGTTGCGTCAATAATCCTCCAATAGTCTCGATTTAGCGTCGACGTATAATCTACAGATTCCGATTCGCATCGACGTTCTTTCGACGTGCTTAAATTCGCGTCAAGTTTGTGTCGATCGACTTAAAGTTATGTTGACATGCATCGACTGGATAAAAGTTGCGCCAACATTCCTCCGAAAGACCTGAATTCGCGTCGACATTCAATCGACAGATTCGGATTCGCATCGACGTTCCTTTGACCTGATTAAATTTGCGTAGATGTTCTGTCAATCGGCTCAAATTTTTGTTGACATACCGTCTACTGGATCAAAGTTGCGTCAACATTCATCGAATAGACTCGAATTAGCGTCGACATTCAATCGTAAGATTCGCATTTGCATCGACTTTTCTCTGACCTGATTAAATTCGCGTCGACGTTCTGTCGATCTGCCCAAAGTTATGTTGACATACCGTTGACTTGATCAAGTTGCGTCAACATTCCTCCGATAGACTCGAATTCGCGTCGACATTCAATCGTCAGATTCTGATTCGCATCGACGTTCCCTCGACGTGATTGAATTCGCTTCGACGTTGTGTCAATCAACTCAAAGTTATGTTGACATTCCGTCGACTGGATCAAAGTTGCGTCAACGTTCCTCCGATAGACTCGATTCAGCGTCGACATTCAATCGCCAGATTCGCATCCACATCGACGTTCCTTTGACCTTCTAAAAATTGCTTCGACGTTCTGTCGATCAGCTCAAAGTTACGTTGACATTTCAGTCGACTGAATCAGGCGCTTCAACATTCCTCCGATAGACTCGATTTAGCGTCGACATTCAATCGTCAGATTCGCATTCACATCGACGTTCCTTTGACCTGATTAAATTTGCGTAGACGTTCTGTCAATCGGCTCAAAGTTATGTTGACATACCGTTTA